CCTGATTTCCATATCCAAATCCCTTGTGTGGAAGTGGTACTCCTGATCTTTTCAGGTGTATTTTCATATAGTTTGATAGTTGTTAGAATTAAATATATTTTTCCAGCGATAATCGATCACGCCATCCGGAATGTGACAATCGATCTGCTGTGGAAGCACAAACGAAATCTAGGAGTAAAAGTGTGGGCTCAAAGGAGGTGCGAAAAGTTTTCGTTCCCACTAAGCTGCGGCAGGGACCGACAGGGGATTTACAGTTCAAAAAAAAACGACTCTACCGTTTCTCTTCTTGATTATGCGAGATCTGTTGTTGCTGAAAGAACAGTTTAGTCGCGACCGCGCCGTGATGTCGCACCACAGCCAACTAATGGAATGCGTCCATCACTTTCTACATCGTCTTTGCAAAATAAATATATTTCGATAAATGGGCACAGTTATTTATGGTTGAGCCTACTTGGCAAAGGAGGTAGCAGCCGTGTGAGTTGAAATTCTCGTTTTTAATTTTTTATTTTTGCTTGACGGATTCATTCGTTTGAAGACTTCAGGTGTTCGTTCGTTTTTATTTAGCCCTTATGAGATTAAATGGCTTGAGAATTTAACCAGCGCAAAAAGCTGTTAATTTGAGCTATTTCAGGTGTATGAGGTGTTTGATGAAGAACGAGGCGAAACTTGCGCATTGAAAGTGGTGGATCTGGGTGAGCTGCGCTTCGTTTCTGTATTCTTTCTTCAAATATGTCTTTTCTTGAAGTATAATATTGTGATGAATTCAAGGAATGAAGATCTGGGATGCATGTGTTTATTCAGGAGATGACCCCTCAGTCCGACAGTGTTACTTGAACGAAATTGAACTGTTGAAAAGCCTTCAGGGCAGTCGCTATGTGATTAAAATGCTGGAATGGTGAGTTTGAGTGGTAATTGCTTGACTAAGCTGATGTTTCTTGAATTTCTTTCAGCGAATTGCGTGAAGAAGAAAACACCTTATATGTTGTCATGGAGAAAGGTGATGTTGACCTGGCTACATTTTTGAAAACGCGTCGCACAGAGATCGACTCGTCCTTCATTAAATATCACTGGAAAGAAATGCTTCGCTGTGTCAAAGTGATACACGACAGAAGTAGGTTTTTTTTTTATCACTACACACCTTCTGTGAACGTCACTTTGTTTCTACCAAGACAATTCTGTTCACTTCCAGACTTAATACCGCCTGCAAATTTCTTCCTGTCGAAGGGCACTGCGAAGTTAATTGATTTTGGAATTGCTACAGGAATTCCAAATGACATGGTATTACAATTGTGTGCTTGCGTTCTCTCAATTTAGAATTTCAGACTTTAAGCACCTGTACATTTTTTTCTTGTTCCAGACAGCTGCTATAAAAGAGAGCCAAATGGGCACATTGAGTTACATGGCGCCTGAAGTTTTGCAAGGAGGAAATGGAGACGGGATGTTCAAGGTATTCAGTGGAAGTTTATGTCTATGATTTTCCCTTCCGAAATTCCTGCCTCCTGCCTTGAAGGGTAGCTCTTATTTTTAGGGGAGTTGCAAGTTTCCATTTTGTGCTATCCATTATCAAAATTGTAGCTGCAGTATGTGGGGGTAGTTCTCACTCCGATCTCGAGCCAACGAATTTTCGAATTCTCAAATCCTGTGCTATTCTTTAACCATTTTTACTCAATTCACATTTCATTCCCAGCCCATGTCAGCCCTGTACCCTGCCGATGTCTCTTAGTTCCCGTCTCTAACTTCGGCTGGCCTCTGCAAGTAATTTGTGTGGTAGATCACATTCGAATGCAGCATCACACCACCGCTTCTTTCAAGCTCCCCTGCCTGTTATGATCCACTGATTGAATGCAGTAGGAAATTTTTTTATTATTAAGATTCCGCTGAAGGCAGACGTCTGGTCGTTGGGATGTATACTCTACAATTTAGTCTACGGTCGTCTCCCTTTTACAATGAAAAGTCAAGGGGCTAAGGTTGGTGCCACTTACCTTTTATAGAACCTTGGATTTCTTGTTTCGTATCTTATGAATTGTCTTTAGATGGCTGCCATATGTAACCCGGACTATGTGATAGATTTTCCCAATTGTGGTGATTCTCTGCTGGTTGATGTCCTGAAGGCATGTCTTTGAATTGGGACTGAACAAATTAGAGAAAATCATCCGTTACGCAATTTTTCCTTTAGCGATGTCTTGTTCGTGATGTTCATCAACGAGCTGACATTAACGAATTGTTGGAGCATCCATATTTGAGTAGGTTTTGGTTTATTTTTAGATTTCTATTTGTTATTCGTTGAGTTTTTTTTTGTTGTAAGAGATCGATCCTTTTGTTTTTTCGTCAACAGATAGCCATCACTTTACATGATTATACCTTCTCTCAATGTGAGGCTTTGGCTGACCGTGAAACTGCCACATGCTTCCAGTCTTCCAATTTCATTTCGATTCCTGTTTTCTCACATTTTCCCATCTATCTCTTTTCACATTTCTTACCTCCGTTGGCTTTACTTTTTTTTGGATTTACCTTTCCGTGGAAACCCATTAATTGTACTATTTCCAGGTTTTTTTTTTGCTATTTTTGTCGCATATGGCTTAG